CTTGGTCCAAATCCGAAATTCAGACCAAAACCCGATTACCCATTCACTCCCGAGCTCGGTTATGTAATTTGTTTTGAAATCCGACCTCAATTTGAGGTCTAAATCTCAATTTTATAAAAATTCCTAATTCTACCCAAACCCCCAATTTCCACCATGAAAACACTAGATTTTTGGTTGAAAACTTGTGACATGTAATGAAAGATTGAAAGAAAATAGGTTAGAATCACTTATCAATGATTTGGGGAAGAAGGGTGCTTGGGAAAATTGCCTCTAGGGTTTTCTTGTTTTGAATATTTGAAGAATGAACAAAAATTCCGTTTCTCAACTATTTGATCAGTCGCAGGTATCGCATTTGCGACCTGGGGTTCGCAAATGCGAACCCCACAAATGCGAAGAAACAACCGCAATTGTGAAGCTCTCCTATTTTTGCTGTCATCTCATTTGCGATGATTTGTTCGCAAATGCGAACATTGATCTTCTGCAAATGCGACCATTTGATCGCAATTGCGATCACTATACTCCCCTGTCCCACTTTTTCGCAAATGCGAACTTAAGGTGCCCAACTACTCTTTGCAAATACGAGGAGTTGCTCGCAAATGCGAACCTATCAGAGGTCGCAAATACGAAGCCTGACCTCGCAATTGGGATTTGCGAGGTCTGAGGCCTGCACCAGAATTGGAACACACCAGCACATTCCTAAGTCCAAATTTCACTCTATAGCCTATCCGAAACTCATCCAAGCCGTTGGGGCTCTAAACCAACTATGCACACAAGTCTAAAAACATCATACGAACTTGCTCATGCGATCAAATCGCCAAAATAACACCTAGAACTACGAATTGAACATTAAATCAAAGAAAATTTTCAAGGAAAACTCATGAACTTTTATTTTCACAATGGACGTCTGAATCACGTCAAACCAACTCCGTTTCTCACTAAATTTGACAGACAAGTCATAAATATAATAATGGTCCTATATCGGGTTCCGAAACCAAAATATGGACCCGATATCAATAAAGTCAAACATTTGTCAAACTTTTAAAGTCATTAAGCTTTTAAACTTTCAAATTTCAACAAAGTATGATAACTCGGGTTAGGGACTTCCGAATTTGATTCTGGACATACATCCAAGTTCAAATCACGATACAGATCCACCGGGACCGTCAAAATATGAATCCGGGTCCGTTTGCTCAAAACGTTGACCGAAGTCAACTCAAATGGATTTTAAGGCAAAAATTTCATATTTTCTCAGTTTTTAACATAAAAGCTTTTCGGAAAAACACTCGGATTGCGCAAATCGATGAGGGTTAAAATGAGGTATTGAAAGCTTCAAATCATAAAATTAGGTTCTACAACATAAGATGACCTATCGGGTCATCATATTTTTCTTTTTTTCCCTTAAAGATTTCTTTTAGTCCAAAGTTTTTTTTTTTAAAAAAAAAAACCGAGCAAAACTCCCAAAAGCATGCTAGTCACCTTGGTTACTGTCCCTTTCTTTCACCCATTTAAACAGCTTTTTAATTGGTTTACTTGCTCAGTGAAGTGATTTTGGTCAAACACACTAACATCTCTTATTAAAATATTTTTGGTCAAATTACAATCAACATCCTTATCGACTTGCTTAGCACCTGGCTTTGCTCCATTGGATAAGCTTTAGTCAATCTCATAGATTCAATAAACAAAAGATGAGAACAATTCAATACATGGAATATGCAGAATTGGAATACATTCTTAGACTGAAAATGATGTAAAGTAATATCTATTGCTTGACTACTTTTACTTTCACAGTGAAACATGTAAATTGACAAATAATAAGATTATATATACGAGTATATAAACATTGAAACTTTCAAAAAAAGTAATTAGCATGCTTTTGGAAATTTTGCTCGTGTTTTTTTTATGACTTTGGATTAAAAGAAATCTTTAAGAGAAAAAAGAAAAAATATAATAATACGTTTTTTTAGGTTAAAATTCTAAGTCTTACCGGAAAATATTATATAAGAAGGTTATCGTTCCATTCAAAAGGTGAAGGAGGTATTGTTTCTCAGCCCTTAAACGTTAAAGGGGTAAAATGAATTTTACTCTGTATTTATTTATCGTAAAAATCGGATCTAAAATCAGGTCAACCCATTGCAAATATTGGAGGCAATCAATGCATATTATCCTCGGATCAAGATCGATCTCATTCTAAGAACTTGAATGCATTTTCGATTTTGGAAGGTGTGAGAGAGAAATTGATTTAAAATAATATGTTGCATTATTTATAGAGGTAGAATAGCCCGGCAAGACTTATCTTGAATATGAAGCAAGTTAATAAATAAGAAAACAATTATAATCCATGGAAGAGAATTTTATAAATTCAAGCCTCTGAAAAGAATAGTTTAATCACCATATTTAATTAAGTTGCAAAATGCTATAGATAAGGTACAACGTTAATCATGTATCTGGAGTAATAATCGGATCTATAAATCAGGTCAACTCCTTTTAATTGGGACAATAATTGGAAGCACTAATTTAATACTACACATTATGTCCTGATCAAGATCTCAGCCTATCTATTTGAACAACAATGACAACCCATTAAAATCCCACGGGTAAGGGTCTGGGAGGGTAATGTGTACGTAAATCTTACCCCTACTCTGATGGAGTAGAGACGTTGTTTCCGGTAGACCCTCGGTTCAAGAAACGAAAAAGACAAAAAAATAATATATCAGTACTATCATCAGAAACAATAGAAATAATAACATTATTATAAAAACCAGAAAATAGTTGAAATACAAAAATAATAACCAGTAAATAAAGCCCAGTACTATGAAAAACGGGAGAATAGTGTGAACATAACATTAACCACTAGCGATCTAGGACAAACCCTATCAGACTAGCCTTATACCCGAAACGAAGTAGAAAAATGCTCAACTACCTCCTAACGTACAACCCTAGTGCTCGATCTCCACACTTTCCTATCAAGGGCCATGCCCTCGAAAATCTAAAGTCACGCTAGGTCCTGCCTGATCACCTCTCCCTAATACTTCTTAGGCCTCCATCTACCTCTTCTTGTACCCGCCAAAGCTAATTGCTCACACATTCTTACCGGTACATCAGGGCTTCTCCTCCGCACATGCCCAAACCATATGAGTCTCGCTTCCCGCATCTTGTCATCTATTGGAACCACGCCCACCTTCTCCCAAATATCTTCATTCCTAATATTATCTATCCTAGTGTGCCCGCACATACACCTCAACATCCTCATTTCTGCTACTTTCATCTTCTGTATATGTGAGTTCTTAACCAGCCAACACTCTACCACATACAACATGGCATGTCTAACCACAACTCTATAAAACTTACCTTTGAGTATCAATGACATTTTCTTATCACACAGGGCTCCAGATGCTAACCTCCATTTCATCCAACCCACCCCTATACGGTGTGTGAGATCCTCGTCGATCTTTCCGTCCTCTTGGATAACTGACCCAAGTTACTTAAAACTGCTTCTCTTGGGGATGACCTATGATCCAAGCCTCACGTCCATGCCCTCTTCCCTCGACTTGGCGCTGAACTTGCACTCCAAGTATTTTGTCTTAGTCCTGCTCAACTTAAAACCTTTAGACTCAAGGGCCTGTCTCCAAACCTCCAGCCTCTCGTTAACACCGCCTCGCGTCTCATCAGTCAGAACTATGTCATCAGTGAATAGCACACACCATGGCACCTCCCCTTGAATATGTCATATAAGTGCGTCCGTCACTAGGGCATATAAGAATGGGTTGAGCACAGATCCTTGATGTAACCCTATAACAACCGAAAAATGCTCTGAGTCGCCTCTCACTGCTCTAACCCGAGTCTTAGCTCCTTAATATATGTCCTTGATCGCTCTAATTAAGTTACTGGCACACCGTTTACCTCCAAGCATCTCCAGAGAACCTCCCTAGGGACTTTGTCATACGCTTTCTTCAGGTCAATAAACACCATATGCAGATCCTTCTTCCTATCCCTGTATTGTTCCACCAACCTCCTAATAAGGTGGGTAACTTTTGTGGTTTAATGACTCGGCATGAACCCGAACTGGTTGTCAAATATAAACACCGTCCTCCTCACCCTCACTTCCACCACCCTATCCCAAACTTCCATAGTATGACCTAGTAACTTGATACTCCTATAGTTGTTAAAACTCTGGATATCACCTTTGTTCTTGTACAACGGTACCATCGTACTCTACCTCGACTCATCCAACATCCTCTTTGTCCTGAAAATAACATTAAATAGCTTAGTCAGTCATTTCAAGCATGCTCTACCCACAAACCTCCAAATTCTACTGTAATTTTGTCTCGCCCGATTGCTCTTCCCATACTCATCTTACACATAGCCTCCATGACCTCCTCAACCTTAATACTCCTACAATATCTAAAGTCTCGGTGACACTCCAAATTCCCCAAGTCACCTAGCATAATATCCCGGCCCCCCTCTTCATTTAGAAGTCTATGAAAGTAAGTTTGCCATTTTTGCTTAATCTGAGCCTCCCCCATCAATACTCTACCGTCCTTGTGTTTGATACACCTCACTTGATCCAGATCCCTAGCCTTCCTCTCTCTCCCCTTAGCCAGCCGAAATAACTTTTTATCCCCGCCTTTGTCCCCTAATTCCTCGCACAACCGGCCAATCACTGTAGTCTTGGCCTCCGTGACCGCCAACTTCGCCTTCTTCCTCACTACCTTATACCTCTCCATGTTCTCTCTCTTCTCCTCCTCGCCTGAGCTCCCTATTAGCTTCAAGTATGTCGCCTTCTTCACTTCCACTTTGCTTTGGACCATATCACTCTACCACCAGTTGCCTTTGTGCCCGCCAGAGAAACCCTTCGAGACCCCTAACACCTCTCTCGCCGCCTCCCTTAAATAGTTTGCCGTCGTCATCCACATAGCGCTCGCATCCTTACTACTCTTCGAGGCTCCCATAGCTGATAGCCTCCTCTCCAACTCCTAAGCTTTATCCTTAGTCAAGGCTCCTCACCTGATCCTCGGTCGTCCTCGAACAGACCTCTTCTTCCTCCTTATCATGATACCAGCGTCCTTCACCAAGAGCCTATGTTGCGTTGGGAGTGTCTCGCCCGAGATAACCTTGCAATCCTTGCACAATCCTCTATCGCACCTCCTGAGGAGGAGATAATCAATCTGAGTCTTTGCCACCGTACTTTGGAAAGTAACCATATGCTCTTCCCTCTTCGGAAAATTAGAGTTCGTAATCACCAGTTCAAATACCTTAGCGAAATCCAATAGCGAAGTTCCTCCTCCGTTCCTATCCCCAAAAATGAAGCCTCCATGTACCTCGCCATAGCCACCAACAGTCGACCTTATATGTCCAGTGAAATTCGCTCCTATAAATAACCTCTTAGCAAGCGAAATACTACGCACAATCTCATCGAACCCCTCCCAGAAGCGCCTTTTAACCTCCTCATCCAAGCTCGCTTGCGGCGTGTAAGCGCTAACGATATTTAGGGTGCACTCTCCGACCACTAACTTAATAGGCACCATTAATCTATCATTCACCCGCCTAGCTACTAACGCATATTTTTATTTTTATTTTATTTTGGGAGGTCAGAGAGAGAAAGAGAGGTTAAATAATAGGGTATATGTTATATTTTTTAGGGAGGATAGCTTGGCAAGACTTGAACATTATTGTAGTTAATTCTTCTAATACCAATGATCACAACTTCCAAAAAATGTTATTTGAAATATAGAGTTGTGTTTGGAATAAATTCCAGTTTGGGTTGTTTTTGAAGTTTTGTGAGTGATTTGAGTGAAAATTTTGAAAAACAGTTTTTTAAAGTTTTTAAAATTTTCGAAAACTTTCAAATTTTTTTTTTTTTTTTTATGTCCGAACGGGCTCTTAGTATCAGGCACCGCATATTTTCACAAAAAATATTTACGTTTAAGTTTTTAGCTTCTTGATTATGAGCAAGACCAAACTAACGAATTCGACTAATTAAATTAGACGGACAATTATGTTCTTTTTAAAAATGTAGGTTATAAATGTAAAATGACAACTTGAAATTAGAATATATTTGTTATTAAAGCTTGATTAGATCGTTTACAAATTTTAATATAAAGCTTGATTTACCCAAAAGTATTGTATAAAGATAAACCATTAGTGTGCGCAATAATATACATTTCAAGCAATTGAAACACTGAATAATAACTTTTATATCCTTATAAAACTAAGTAATACCTTCAACTTAGTACAAAAGGTATAAATTACAAGGTTAGTCATGGGATTTTTAATTGATTTTGTAGATACATATATTTACTGTAATCACATTATACAAAGTCAATGTCTAAATTAACTAATACATGTATCACCACATTATTCCATCATAAGCGGATGCATTAACCAAGCTTTTCTTCTTTCCTCTCATGAAGCTCGCAATCAAGGAAGTGAATAATCCAATACAATAAATAATATTTTTCAGGATATAATAACACTTGCTCTCTTCAAATTTCCTACAATTGTTATGCTCGATCAAAATCAATTTTTTACAAATTACTAAAGTTTTTTCAAAATCAATCAAGATCGCTCATGTCCAGAAGATGAAGGTAGTAGAGATGAGGATGTTGAGATGGATGTGCGGGCACACCAGGTTAGATAGGATCAGAAATGAAGTTATTCGCGACAAGGTGGGTGTGACCCCTATTGAGGACAAGATGCCGGAAGCGCGGGTTAGGTGCTTTGGTCATGTGAGGAGGAGGAGCGCAGACGCCCCGGCGAGGAGGTGTGAGAGGTTGACATTGGAGGGCCTACGAAGAGGTAGAGGTAGGCTAAGAAGAGGTGAGAAGAGGTGATTAGGCAAGACATGGCACAAGTTCAGCTGACCGAGGACATAACCTTTGATAGGAATGTATGGAGGTCGAGGATTAGGATGATAGAGTAGGTACGGTAGTCTAGAGTGTTCATAACAGTAGTATTGACGTGCAGTATCGCTTTCTGTTGGTAATAAATTTTTATGACTAAGTTGTTTTCTTTCATTGTTGATCATCTTATTGGCTTGTTGTTTTTATTCTACTTTTTATATGGCTTTTTGGTACTGTCCCTTCTTGTCTATAATTTTATTATTGTGGTGCTTATGCTTTCTTGAGCCGAGGGTCTATTGGAAATAGCCTCTCTATCCTCACAAAGTAAGGTAGGATCTGCGTACATACTACCCTCCTCAGACCTTACGGTGTGGGATAATATTGGATATGTTATTGTTGTACTAAAGTTTTTTCATTTATTAAGGCCCAATATCCATTCTTCGTCTGAACATTGTTCCCTACTTCCCTTTGACTCTTGGATATATTTTATAGTTAATTAGAGTATGCAATCTTTTCTTTCTTTAGGACGACTCTGCAGTTTAATTTTTTTACTTTTACTTTTTTAACTCATCGATTGAAATAGATATTTTTAGCGTGAGATCCAAATGGTAAACTCTTACCAAGACATTAGAACCTATTATTGATTTTCACATTTTTTTATTATCTTAGTAAGGGGGTAATTTCTTACTAGACTAGCATAACATTTTTACGTATTTTGAGTTTTCATTTGGCTAGAAACTTGCAAGTCAACTAACTAAGAAGGCATGGGAGAACAAAACTAAGAAGGTGACATTCATGCCTTTTTTTTTAAGGTAAACATTAAATATAATATGTGGATAACTCAATAAGGCTTCTAAGGATTTCTGCGGAGTATATTTATATATTTTATTGTGTTAACTAAATAATAAAAAATATTCATCATTTTTAGGTACCTAATTTAAGTTTTATTTTAAACTCAAATATACTTTTTAAATAATATTTGTGATTTAAAAAAAAACTATACTCACTAATATCGATACACGAATGACGCGTGTAACCCGAAACTAGTTATTTTAATTGAGACAATTGAAAGCACTAATTAATGCACATTACTTCTTGATCCAGATGTCTATTGTCTAATTCTAACTATTTTATTACAATTTTAAATTTTGGGAGGTTGGAGAGAGAAAGAAACATGAAACAATATACTATTGCATTATTGGGGTTTGGAATGATAGCCTGGCAAGACTTTAACATAAAACAAGCTGAAAAATAGTATCAAAACAATATAAAACAATTATATCCCATGGTTGAGAGGCCTATAAATTCAAGCCTTTGGAAAGGAATGAAAACTCAAAACAAAAATTTCAAGTAGGCCTGAAGTACTATCTTACTATGGCGATGTTTAAACTTGGTTTGGTTCTCACTATTCTTCTCGTGGCAACTACATGTTAGTATCCCTTTATCTTTATCTCTAAATTATTATTGTGTTGTCATTAACTCGTTCTGTATATGATATAAAATAAAAGGGACAGTCCAGTGCACAAAGTATCCCGTATATTTGCAGTATTCGGGGAATGGCCGCATTCCAAGGATTGTGATGTAGACAGTCTACCCTAATGCAAGCATTAGTGGTTGCTTCCATCGCTCGAACCTCTGACCTATATGTTACAGGAAGACAACTTTACTGTTGCTCCAAAACTCTCGTTCTAAATGATATACAATATACACATATTTGATATGTATGCATGAATATGCATGCGTTCCTATGTATTGCGATTGATTGTTTTGCTTTTCATGTTATACTTGTCATCTTTTAATTTTGATAATTATATCGGTGAAATATTTCAGTTAATATGGTGTGGCTATCAAACACACATGTGGATGCTGCACGAAATGCTGATATGGATATTTCAGGACTGGAGAGGAGACTACTGCCACAACTTAATTCCTGGATTACCTGTAACAACAAATGCATCGTAAATAGTGATTGTCATGGTTGCTGGTTTTGCTGCACATGTACAACTTGGAAGTTATGCGGGTATATTGCTTGAACGTAGTATATTACTGATCAATTGCAACAAACTCTGCAAAATCCTCGCTATGGGTCTGTGTTTCCGTGTGGTTTGATTACTGTTTTTATTTTGTTTTCATGCTTTGTATAATAATGAAGTCAAGTGAAGTGCTTTCTCTATTGTAAGGAATAATAATGTATTACCGCTTGTTTGGATGGTTGCTACTGTATTACACCTTGTTTGTTTTGATTGTTACTTAAATTTTATATATTGTATTGTATCGTTAAATCCATCATTACGTAACAACAAAAAGTGTCACCTTACAAAACGACTGATTTGGTGAAGTCGTATCGTTACTTTATTTTTTCTCTCAATCTTGCATTTCCTTATTATTAAATAATTATATTTTATCTTTTACCCTACCTTTTCATGTAATAAGTCTACCTCGTTACCTTATTTTTTCTTTATAATATTACAAGTTTATTCTTCATATTGTTGGTGCATGACAATAAAACGGCAGCAAATAATATAATCTTTTCAAACATTGTATACATTAAAACAATACGATATAATACAATATAATATAATAGAATACTATACTATACTATACTATACATTATGAAACGATACATAACAAGAATCCAAACAAGCTGTTAGCTGTGAAAGTTGATTGGATTAGCCTTTAATTTTATCCTTTTTTATGACTGATCATATATTTGCCGGATTGTTTAATGAATTTACCGCATTTCAAAAGTCACTCAAGATTCGTTTAATGAAGCCAAGAGTTCCTAAAATTACGTATAATATTTTTATTAATTTGAAGTAGTAGTTACTCTAACAACAATAACAACGACAAACAAATAGTATAGAAAATAAGTTAAAGACTAAAAGCTGAAAACTTAAAAGAGAAACTTGTGGTTTAATTCAAAGACTAAAATTAAGTTGGTTTATGTTGTGACAAATAGAGAAAATTGTGCGCTATTTTATAATTTACTCTCTAAATAAACGATAAAAAGGTCATTAACTTCCGCTGGCGGTGGTATTATGGATTAAAAAATAGTTATTCATCCATATTATCTATTAAAACTGATCGGATAATGAATTTTTTAAAATTGGCTAATCAATTGATTTAACTTTTACATTTGTAAAGAGGGAGTTTATCAAGTTTGGGAGATTAGGAATTCTTCCAAAAATGATCATATTCAAAAAGCCATGGGTGATAATATGGATATCCATATTATCCGTCGGTTAATCCATTCTTTATTTATATTAAATATGAGTTAGGTCGAATATTTTATCTGTTTTTGCATTATTCATTTTTACCCTCCCATATCCGTCCCGACGTGTTCGTTCGCCACCCCTAATTTCTACTAAAGTTCTATTGACAGCAAATGAATTTAAGCTTATTTCTTCTTATTAAAAACACGTTAGCTAATAGAGTAGAACAAGAAATCATAGAAGCATGTTCAAAACTTAGTATATAAAAGTAAATTGAACATATTTTGTTCAATTAGCACATTCGAAGATCAAATCCAAATAAAGCAAAGTGCAAAGATAAAGATTAATTAATAAAAAGAAGATGGCCTAAGAAAAATAAAATTTCTTTGATTGTGTAAGTTTAAATGTCGATGTGTACATATTTCTTTGAACTAATTTTGTTTGTCAAGATGAATAAGAGAGATGTTAGTAATGCGTCCCCTTTAGTAACCAGGGAAAATTGGTGGTGGTGGTGATGCGTAAATTGATCCCAAGTTTGGAGGAAGGATAACATCCTCGAAAACAGGTGGAGGGGGAGATGCCAATGGAGCAGGAGGTGGTGATTGAACAGGTTTAGGCGGAGGCGGGGAGTGGACTGGTGGAGGAGGAGAAAAGACGGGAGGTGGTGGTGAGTGAACTGGTGGCGGTGGAGAATGAACTGGAGGAGGTGGGGAGTGAACTGGTGGTGGTGGTGGAGAGTGAACTGGAGGAGGTGGTGAATGAACTGGTGGTGGTGGGGAGTGAACTGGAGGTGGAGGTGATGGTACTAGCGGTGGAGGAGAGTGGACTGGTGGTGATGGGGAGTGAACTGGAGGAGGAGGTGATGCCACTGGTGGTGGAGGAGAGTGGACTGGAGGCGGTTGTGGTTTTGGACTTGGCACTGGTGGTGGAGGAGAGTGGACCGGAGGCGCCTGTGGTTTTGGACTTGGCACTGGAGGTGGAAGTGATGTCACTGGTGGTGGTGGAGAGTTGACCGGATGTGGCTTTGGTTTTGGACTTGGCACTGGAGGTGGAGGTGATGCCACTGGTGGTGGTGGAGAGTTGACTGGAGGTGGCTTTGGTTTTGGACTTGGCACCTCTGGAGGTGGAGGTGATGTCACTGGTGGTGGTGGAGAGTTGACTGGAGGTGGCTTTGGTTTTGGACTTGGCACCTCTGGAGGTGGAGGTGATGNTGGTGGGGGCGGTGATGCCACGGGTGGTAGTGGAGAGTGAACCGGAGGTGGTTTTGGTTTTGGACTTGGCACTGGCGGAGGCGGTGATGCCACGGGTGGTGGTAAAGGTGAAATCTTGGGTGGATTAGACTTAGGTGGTTTTGGGGTTGAAGGAGTTCTTTTGGGTGGCATAGGGGGATTTGGATCCTTTGGTGCTGGTCCTTCTTTATTAGCTCTACATTTATCTTTACTGCAATCCACAGGTTTGCTCAAAACAGATTGACAATCTTTCTCTTTTCTTTGGTCTGGTCTTCCTCCTAAACAATTTTCCTTATCTTCTACCACAAGATTTTTCTTAAGCGGTGGTGCACAAGTTTTGTCCAAGGCATCAAAATAATTGTAAGAAAATGTGAAATTAGCCAAATTTGGTAAGGTGCAAATAGCCTCTGGAACTTCTCCAATAAACATGTTTGATGCAATATCAAGAACTTGAACTTTCTGCATGGATTTCAAACCCTGAGGCAAGGATCCAACAAACTTATTTCTGCTGATATCGAAAATCGTTAAGCTCTTGAGCTTAGCGATTTCGTCTGTAACACAACCAGAGAGATTGTTGTTGGTGAAAACAAGCTCATCTAATGTGTTTTCCATTTTGCCAATACTATGAGGGATACAACCATGGAATTTATTGTTAGCCAAAACCACAACTGAGGCATTGGAATTGCCAATATTTGGAGGAATGGTAGAATGGAAACGATTATTGTTTAGGAAAATAGCATCAAGATTCTTGTCAAATAATTCAGAAGGCACTGATCCTTCAAAATCATTGTACCTAAGATCAAGATATTTAAGATTTGGCAACTCTAGCACAACCTTAGGGAATGGCCCCACGAAACGGTTGTTACTGAAATCAATCTCATCTAAAAGTTTAAGATTCGTAATACTCTTAGGGACAATTCCACAGAATCGATTAGAATTAATGTGAATAAGACTAACATCGGCTAGGAACCCGAGCTCAACAGGGAGATGCCCCGCGATGTCTGCATGATTAAGATCAATACCAGCAACAACAGAGATGTTGGGATCATCTAATGCATTGTCACAAAAGACACCATTATATGCACAAACATCAGGACCTTCCCAATTATTAGTAAAATTTGATGGATCAGAGTAAATAGCTTTTTTCCAAGCTTGAAGAGCAATGTAAGCTTTCTTTAGCCTACCATTTGCAAATGTCAACTTAATGTTCTTTTCATATTCAACTAGATTTGGAAGATCACCCGTGCCAGCCGTGAGCTGACGACGAGCGATGAAAGCGGCTTCATTATCAGTCAATGCAAAAGAAAAAGATGAAAAAGATACAAGATTGAGGAGAAGAAGAAAGCAACCTAAGGCCTTTATGTTTGGTGGATTAGCCATTTTTGTTTAAGATCCCCTAAGTCAGACCCAAGGCTGCTTATAGGAATCATGTTGGGAAGGAAAATGGATGGTGTTATATGGAGGTAGAAGGAGGATGGTTCAAGGTTGAGAGTTAGTTGATGTTTTTTGAATTAGCTCCACAAAATTTTGAGGGTTGTAAAGAATTTGATAGACAATTTTTTAGGAGATAGAATTTTTGATGACCATCTTTTAACCTATTGACAGGGAAAATCACCAATTATGTTTTTACTATTTACCGTCTCAAACTAGTGGATATTAATATTTAAACAACTTGATTTAATTTTTTGTGTATGGTAATATTTTCTTATTCTCTTATCAAAACTTAGAAATATTGATGGCATAATAAATCATGGAATAATACATAAACGTTTGACAATGCAGTACCTTTTTTTTGGGCAGACTTTGATTCTTTTCTACTTTGTTTTCTCTTTTTTGTCCACCCTCGAAGTGACTAGTTGGACTTATAACTATAATCAACATTATGTACTATTTACTAAAATAAAAAATATTTCACTTTATACTCTTACATAATTTATAAGTAATAAATGGGATGAAGTCGATCACTTTAGTAAATTTTCTGCAACAGATTTCAGTAAGCGGATTCAAAAACTGGCATTTGCTTGTTTTTAAGCCTCCAACAATTTTGCAAAGTCATCAAACAGAGAAGGTATATAGCTAGAAAATATAACTTTGAAACATCTTTTTTTGAGGAACTTTTAAATTTTATACTAATAAATATTACATAGACATAAAGAGAAATTTGGTGCACTAAGCTCCCGCTATGAAGCATTTTGTATTTGTTTTGCACATTATACAGGACATGATAGGCATTTATTTGACTTAATTAATGTAGGGCAGCCCGGTGCTCTAAGCTTCCGTCATGCGCGGATCTCGGAAAAGACCGAATTACAAGGGTCTATTGTACGCAACCTTACCTTATAGATTGGAGTTAGGCATGAACACAACATAATATATGATCATACCCCATACCATATTGTCGAATAAAGGGGTTGAAAGAGCTATGGAACTCAACTAATTAGCATATTAAAAACTGTAAGATGTTATGTTCTCTTTTCTTTCAATGATTTGGCCAAACCAGTCTTCAAACATAAGCCTCTTCTTCATTGATGGTGGCCAACACTTTAGGAAGTAGGCGCTTCACCACATTTACAAATTTTGAAGGAGCAATTATTTACTTCTGTTGCAATTGATCTTCTTTGATGGTGGCCAAATATTCTTAGTGTTATCTTGACCTAAAGACTTATCCAAATTGAACAAGGAATCAAAGTCGCACGTAGTAGTGGCAAAATGAATAAAAGAAATAATTATCCATCCATATTATTTACTAAAAAATAATTTGAATAATAAACTTTTTAAAAATTGGTCAAATATGGATGAGATCCATATTATCCACTTAAACAATAGATAACCAATTGGTTTAACTTTTACAATAGCAAAGACTAAATTTGCAATTCCTCAAGTTTGGGAGACTTGAAATTCTCCTAAAAGTGGTTATATTCAAGAAGTCATGGATAACATGAATATCCATATTATTCGTCTGTTAATCCATTTTTTTATTTGTATTAACTATGAGCAGATCGGATATATTATCAGTTTTTGTATTATTCATTTTCGCCCGCACATATTCAATCCAACCTGCCCGTTTGTCACTTCTAGTCACACGTGAGGAGCGTGCTGAAGATAAAATTAAGGAAATAACTTAAAGTGTACTTTTTCTAACCGTTCAAACTTTTAGATAATACAATTACACAATTTAACGTTCTTTATAAACTACCAAATTCTCGAAAATAAATCGGAAGAAGCTTGTTCCAACGGTGTTCTTTCAGTTTAAACGGAACACGTGCTTTTCACGAGCCGATTTCATTAAAGATAACTATCGTTGTGTGTTATAAATATACCAGAAACCAAAAGTGCTCAGTTTTGATAAGATTAAAGGACTAAAACTGTTCAATTGCATATCTCATGGACTACTTTAGACCCCTCGTATATAAGGGATCGTAGCTTTGACATTTTCTCCATGGTATCAAAAATTTCTAATCTATTAGGACTCTTTCTTTTGAAGTGAGGGGAAAAGACTTTTAAAATGATTAAATCTCCTTCATATGCTTTATCTTTTTCGAGAAGTCTTGCACTTCTATAAATTGAGGATATCTTCTCACACAACAAAAATAACTTTTACAACGTAGCCTTTATGAGAATCACGTTTAGGGGAGATTATTCTCTCAAAAATTTTATTTTCTCTTTTTATATTAGTGATAGATCATGTATAGGTTGATTGACCAAATAATTAATAATAAATTATTATGCCTAATTTAGTATATATTTTTTTCATACTCTAATTTATCGTCCATCAAATTTTGCATTGTTAGCTTCCGCATGCACCATGTTATTTCGATCCTAACATATCTAATATTGTATCAAAGAAATCCCAGTAAAAGGAGAAAAGAAACAAAAAAAAAAATAAAGAAGAGACATACATTATAGCACCACAATCAAAAGAACGTGAACTGTTGATAGACTCCATGCATTTTTTCGATCGAAAGAGTTTACAGACTGCATAACAATTACTCCTAAATATTCTTGTGTATAACACATGATCAGTTCATATCATAGTACTGCTAAATCATTCATCTACTATAAAATTAACAAGTAGATGTCATGTCACCTCTCCCATCCCATACAAAATATATACATACATATAGTCGGAATTAAGGTGTTTGATATGTAACTCAATTAGCATATCAAAAGGTGTAAGATGTTATATTGTTTTCTCTTTCGATGATTAATGGCAAAAACTAGGCCTCAAGCATAAGCCTCTTCTTCATTAATGGTAGCCAACACTTTAGGAATTGGACGCTTTACCACTTTTACAAATTTTGGTGGAGCAACTTCTTTTGCAAGTAATATTAAGACTGTCGCAAACTTGGCCATTGTGTTAGTAATATCTTAAGTAAGGAGGAGGAAGGAGAAAATGAAGAAGTAATTGAGGAATAGAAATATGAGGAGCTGTTGTAGAGAAGTAAACATAAAGTGCGATGAATTTATAGGGTAAGACTAGTACTAACCTGTTCAATACGTTGTTCACTTTACATTAAAGGTAAGGTCTGGTTTGTCCTAATTTGCCTCCTCCTTTTTCTATTAAATGCATTAAGTTGTCTTCTTTATTGAGAAAAAGACATGGCACTAGAACCATCATGAGTATTAGCGGAGCCAAAGTAGTTTCATAATGTATTAATTGCATTGTATTGTTTGATGAATACAATGTTTGGACATATTGCATTATTTAACGTCATTTCATGATATCACACGCCAACAATATGAGAAAAAAGCAAGCTAACAATGTCATCACACCAAATTCGTCTTTCCATAAAGTGGAACTTTTCAACATTACGTAATGACGGATTTAACGGTACGATACAATAAAATTTAAGTATCAATCAAAACAAACATTATATTTAAAGTAACAATATGATAACAACCATCCAAACAACATCTAAGGGATGTAAAAATTTAAAGAAATAAATATAGGAATAAGTTAAGGGGATTCTATGAATAGTATATATATACTTAAAAAATAATTTTTACCGATTTAAGTAATGTAATTTTCCGGTAAAGGGATGTCAATATGTAGCTCCGCCAATGAGAACCATGACACCCATAGCTCAAGCATCACCATCTTTGGTAAGAAGTTTAATGACCTTATCCAGAAAGTATTTAAGTTATATACACATATAGTGTAAAAAATCATACACTAATTTTAATCTGTAATAACAAGTTAGTTATCGTATTTATCGAATTACAGATTAATGTTTGTCAAGAAATTTATTTATAATTATTTAATAAATAATCTGATTATATAAATAAAATTTTCATTATGAGCGCGTAGAACTTAAATTCGTCCAAAAAACAATACATGGTAATTCTTTCCAAGCAAAAAATTTCAAAGTTTCGCACATCATTCTTGGTTCTTGGGAATTTTCCTGTATATGTATACCAGTGAAGTCATTTCTTTAGTAAAGTGAATATTCTGGTTAACTTCGCATTCCCATTTTGATGAGTCCAAAGTTCTTTTATTAGTATTCATTAAGTAAATCTCTCTTAATATTGTTCTCAACAACAACCACGGCCCAATGGGATCCCACAAGTGGGGTCCGGGAAGAGTAGTGTGTACGCAAACCTTACCGGCCTACTTCGGAGAAGTAGAAAATCTGTTTCCGATAGACCCTCGGCTTCTTAATATTGTTCTCAATAGTAAGAAAAATTATAGCCATCAATTAACGTCATTTATAGCATGAAGTGAAAAGACTGATCAAATAACTCCAACAAAGGTTGCTGCGCATATAATGCAGGACCATATTGAAGATGTGGTTGAAATCTTAGTGTTATCTTGAACCTCCAAACTTATCCAAATTAAGCCAGGGGACCAGATCCCCTGTCCTTATTTGTAACTTTCATATCATAAAGTCTTAATTTGTCTACCAATATATACTCTCCAGACAAACTTGGTTCTGTTTTGCCAGAGAGTTATTGCCGATAAAAGTTGCTATCTTTTACATTTACTAGGACAAGCCTGATTTTGCTCTTTATTCTACTAGAAGAATAATGCATTTGTATACGGTCAAAACCAACCTTGCCCTTTGTGTGACTAATCGAGATCGAAATATGATAGGTCAAGATTCGACCTTGTGTTATATCGAACCGTGGTGCAAAGATAGGTCGTCGAGCTCGTGACCCAGAGACAGATCAAGATCGAGATCGGCCAAGATCGAGGCCGATCAAGATAGAGATCAAGCAAGATCGAGGGAAACTTACCGAGCCAAATAACGAAAAGCCGAAATATCCGCAATCGAGCGAGGATCACGGCGAAAATCCCGGCACGTATCAAGAAGAGGCCGATTAGTTAGCTAATCATGAGATTTCTTACCTCATATAGAATTGTATCAAGAGTAGGACTTCCCTACTATATAAAAGGGGTCTAATTATTTGTAAAACACATTATTTTTTCGCAATAC